GCCAACTTGCTATTTGGACGGACAGGTTGAGAGTTGAGATTGGGTTGTTGGTAATTTTGGGGACTTGCATCTGGTGATGGTTTAGATTAGTGAATTGATTTTTCTACTTATGTAACTAATTTTGTGGTTTAGTTAATAATTTTGAAAGAATAATAATAGGAAAATGACAATTTATACCAGGCTGTAAAACACCCACTAGTATAGTGGTTTGGAACAATTGCTCCCCTAGGAAGGTCCTGAGTTCGAGTCCTAGCATCCATGTAGTGCGTGTGAGTTTAGTATACTAGTTAAGAAAGGTCCTAAAAAAAAAAAAAAATTTATACCAGGCTCTGTTCTGTACTCATCATTCTTGGTTGGATAAATAATCTTTTTTTCCGCAAATATGCTGCACCATACAAAAATAGCCATTTATGGAACAAAGAAAACCATAACAAAGAAATATGGGGAGTACATGCACACACTCAAAAAAAGAAAAAGGAAAAAGAAAAAGGGACCCAGTAGAGAGACACTCCAATCCCAGCACTGCTAAACTTGCCTCCAAGGAAGATTCAATTCATTTTCTGGTATTTCATTCATGTGGAGCAAATTCTAGGTCTCAAAGTGATTGATGCCTTGATTAATTGCTTGTGATGATTGAAATAAGCTCATTAGCTGTCCATGTCACTAAGGAGAGATTTTTAAGTTTGCTGAGCAATTCTTTGTCTACTGATGAGAGCATGGGGACATATTCATGAGCTGCAACAAACAAATTAATTAAATTCTTGATTTCAAAACAAGCAAGAAAAACAAAGCATTAAGCTTAGGATTGCAAGAAATTTGTATGATTGTATCTTCCCTTGTGGTTTTCTGTATGGAAAAATGTACCTGAACTTTTTGCAAGACTCAGTAATGAGTATGAAGCAAGTACTCTTTCCTCTACATCTCTGTCATAATTCAGTGATTCTAGCAACTGAGGCACAAGAATTGAGCATGCCATGGTCCTCAAATTGTCATCTCCAACTGTATTTAGAAAGCTACTCATCCATGAAACAGTGACAAGGCTTGCTCGGGCTAAACTTGGAACGCCATTTGCTATTGAATCTGAAAGAGCCACCAATAGTTTCTTATTGCCACTTTTGAATAGGACAATGGCTGCTTTCCTTTGCCAATTTTCTGTTGCTTCTCCATCTTCGTTCTAATTTTTGGATCACGTAAAATTATTGTCAGTATTTGTTTTTTTTCATAGATTGATAAATCTCAGCTGGTTTAGTGTAATAGAAAGCTTACTGAGTGTACAAAACCATCTATAACATTTTCTTTGAAGTGATATGAAGCCCTTGGCCAATAACTGAAACCTGCTTGTTGTAAAAGCCTATGTTCTGTTGATGCCTCTCCTGTGTAAGAAAACCAGCCTCCCAACATTAAGAGAGCACTTGCTGATCTTTCCTGGACTTTTTCATGACATGTTTGACAATTTAAAGCTGCTATAATTGCTTCAATGGCTTCTTCTCTATATACACTGCTCCTGAAGGGGTCTCCCTGCAACAAAACTGCTACTCCATATGGGAACTATTCAAGATATAAATTAAAAGTCCAGAGCAAAGATTGATTTACTTAGGTGAACATTTTGGTTGCCAAAAGTTGAAAAAAGTTTAAATTTTAAGCAACCATTTCTATGAGAAGGATGCATAAACACTAACAATGGATTTACCATAAGATCAAGCTGTAGTAAAATGGCTGCAATTAGTGGACGTTCTTCAGGTGCAGCTCTTTGGAGATGGACCAACAAAATTTGCATTGTGTTAAACCCACCATATCCTTCTTTCAGTCCATCAAGGATTTCATTGATCTTCTTTCGTCTGAGAAGAATCATTTAGTTGATCAAAATGTAAATAGAACATGAAAATATAACCAGAAGACTCAAAAAGGTAAAAAGATAAAAAGATAAATCCATACCTACTAAGGCAGAGTATTTCGATCAATAAAGCAACTGCGGAGCCAGCAGAGTTACTGCCATTTCCAAGTATAATGAGTTCAAGAAGAGAAGCCTTGTTGAGAAAATCAGCTAAGTAGTTTCGACAGCTTCCATCAGCTCGAACACAACGCGAAATGATGGAAGCAGTATTGTTCCTCTCATGAGTATCCCCTCTCTCAATTTGTGTCACTAGAAGGCTCAACCCCCCTAGAGAAACCACCTGTCTAGCATTCTCTAAGTTTCTGTCTTTATCAAAACCAGTAAGAAGCTGGTCCAAGAGGTACAATGCTGCCACTTGAGGACTGCATTGAACCGTGAATAGGGTCTGCAACTGATCTCCGAACTCTAGCACTCGAAGGACTAGTGCCACCCAATCAATTGATATCATCTGTTTTGCCTTTGGCTTTAACAGGTAAAGCAGAATGGCAGCTTTCAAAAATAGACCACTACTTCTTAGAAGTCTCATGAAAATTTCAAGCTGTGGATCTGAAGTCAGTATAATATGTCTGTTCATCTCATTTCTTGCTACAAATTCAGCTAACACTGATATGACTAATTCCAAAATTTCATCGTCGGTGGAAGCAAACAACACCTCCAGCATTCCCTGGATAACAGGTGCCTTTGCTAACTCAGCTTCAATGACAGGATCACCATGTGAGTCCAACCAAGCTTTAGTAATTACACGAATTGCAATTTCGCAATCCATTAGATTATCCGAGGAGTAAATAGTGCTAATAGCACTGCTTAAATTGCTTGAAGGAAGATGGGAATTGTCTTCTTTCCGGATTGAATTACTTTTGACAATAAGGTTCCTGTTCACCAAGCATTCGGTTGGTCCATTCTGGCACCTAAAGAATCCAAAATAGTCTGATTTTTGCGTCTCAGGCTCAGGCCAAAACTCAGTTTTTGGATTTCTATGATTTTGGCTGGATGACCTTCGTCCAGTCCTGCCCCCTCTCTGCCAAAGTCAGAAATAATGTGAATTCTCCACTGCAACATTCAATTATTGCAAAAATGAAGGGTGGAGAATTGAGATGAAGACAGAGTTACCTACATGAACATAACTGAGATTGTTGTAATTATCTTCATCTGCCCACAGATTTCCCTCCTCCTCATGCAAACCCCAAGTAGCATTAGAAACTCCAGTTCGATCATAAAGGAGGTCTAGTGATCTTCGTTCAAGCGTGGGGCCAAATACGGCTCGGTATCTTTAGTGATTTTAGAAATCATGAAACAAGATACACAATTACAACACAAACTGCAAGTTAAATATACTTTCTGAATGTTTTGCAAGAAATGATTAAAATGTATCCATGGATTAGTGTTACTTACAAATTTTTGTTTAATGAGGAATGTGAAGTGTAAGAATCAGATGATCTCCTTCTTGATGATCTGCAACTGGATATTGAAGGTATAGGTATATTAGGAGGAACAGGAGGAGGGGCCTCAACCCCAACTTTAAGCCACTCTTTGTAGTACAGAGCAAACTGTGTAGTTCCCATATCCATTTGGTCATTATAGACCTTGGTTATGGCTTTCATTTTCTTCTCCCTCTCAGGGTCCTCTGAGTTTGAAAGACCATCAGCTTCCTTGGCATACCAAATCTTCACATGAAGAAGATGTGGAAGAAAGAAATGCTCCCAAAGATCAGGAAGCAAATGGGTTCGAGCTAAAACCGGTGAATCACAGAACACTTGAAGTAAATGCCTAGCCGAAACCGGGTCATTTTTCTCAATCTTGTAAGCAATTGCCAAGTAGAGCTGAGCACAAGCAGAGAGATGTGAATTGGGTGTTCCACATGTTGAACCATTTTTGGACTTGCTAGAGTTTAAGGAAGCAACAATGCTCAAAACCCGAATCGAATTCCTTATTGTTTTCTTCCTTAATTCCTTATTTGATGACCATTGATCTTCCACCAACTTGTTAATGCTTTCAATACCCAATTCCAAGTTTGCAAACATCTCATTGTCCTCATCCTTTTTCTTTCTCACCAAACAACAACTGCATTTTTCCCAGATTGTTTCCCGGAAAGCTTCATCCTTTATATACCGGCCTGCACAACCACTAAGTATAGAAATCACAGCTCTGGTGGCAACTTCATCAATGGCACGCTCATTAGTTCTGGAACTCTCTGAAACCAGTGACTTGGAATTTGATCTCTCTGAAGTAGAACTCACCCTTCTAGACGACCCTTTTCTCATGGCAGGCTTCTGAGCCTCGTGGTTGGAAAAGTCGTAACTTTTTCGACCATGGCAGATGTATATAGGCAGCAGACCTATAGATTCGTCTGGTGCAACTCTTTCTCTGTGTTTCACTGGTTTTGGGCTTTTTGGGTACTTTTTTCCAAGTTCAAGTCTTTCATCTGTGAGCAATTCTTGTAAGGAGGACATTTTTTGGTGGATAATTGGATTTGGGTTTGAAGCAAAGACGAGTTTGTGAAAAGCTTCACTGACATTCTCCCAAAACCAGAAAGTATACAAAAGACAGCTATTGCCATAGAAGATAAACAAGACAGAAATGAGGACAAAGACTGGTGTCGGCTGATTCTTTTTAGACGTTTACCGTCGACCTGCCTTTTAATTTAAGGGTGGGCACTGAACCGGTTTGAAATTGGACCGGGTTTTAGTTGTTCCATGAAAAATGTTTTATTTTAAGATCAAAATATCAAACAAGAATTCACCAAAAAAGAAATCCAACAAGAAAGAGCAGCATATTTTGAATTTTGGAATCTGTGAGCTGCTTAATTGAGTTGGAACACACAATTCAAATTCCAGCTGTTCAAATAAGTTATTTGTAAAGTACATAATTTAGGTACATTTTTAGTAATCAAACATCAAAATCAGAAAGGTTTAGATGAGATGAGAGTTGAGCTAGTATAGATTGATATGTTGAGTCTGGACGAGAGCTTATAGTGTTCTGTGTTGATATTGCTTATATCCAATATTATTGTGTTAAAATTTTCATTTTACTCTAAGCTCAAAATGAAACACAGTATTAGTATAGAAAAATGTCACGTCTGATCTATTTTAATAAATACCCCATTTGATACGTTTATTTTCACAACAAATCCAATAATCTTGGTTACCTTAACCCAAATTTAGATTTTGAATCATTCGTGTTTTCTTGTCCCCCACAAATGATATTTTAGGTGCTATAATCAAACTTAAACAAAGCCTCCTCATAAGATGAAAATGGATGTGCCTCATTATTTGGTGAAAATCTAACCATTCATATATGTTTGACCTTGGAACATTGATAACATAATTGCAATGCATGACATGCTGCACAGTAGCTTAATGGAGTCATGGTCAATGTCACATGCAAAAGTTAATGTAAATAGACTAAGAAAAAACCATATAATATAATAAAAATGGAAGAAACAAAATAGAAAAGACAAAAATGGAGGCCAATAATGCTCATGATGAGTCATGGGGAGGAGGCTTAATGGTTTCACAGTCTTTTCTTCTCCTCCTTTCATTTCTCGATGTGCTTCCACTCTCTTACTCTCTACCATTGTCTTGTTCTTTGGCTTAGCTCTTTTGCCATGTCTTCATCTTTGCCCAACTTTGCCAATTCACTATTGTTAATTCTCCAACTTTTTACTTTATCTGAACCGGTTTAGTCCAACGGTTTTCCGGTTCATTCAGACCGTTTAAGCTTTTGGTTTGGGCCAAGCAAATAATAGCCGTTATTCAGACAATGTTCAAAGTCTTTAAATTATTTGAGGACATTTAAAAATAATAATAATATGACACTAGAAATGTGACCAAACCGAATTTTCTTATAAAAACAATCGAGAATTCTTTAGAAGTCTATAGGAGAAATTAATTTACCCTATTTTTACTCCTATTTTGTTGTAAAGATTTTCGAGTCAATATTTCTTCTACTTGATTTATCTCCATTTGAGTCCCTTTTACTTTATTTTATTAAAAATCACACTGATTCAGGATTTTTACTCTACTCTACTTTGGGTCCCTAGTTATTTTGACAGTAGAAATTAAAAGTCAAGTGAAATAAACAAAATAAACATAAATTTTTTTTTTCTGAAGTATCTCCAATATCGCCTAAGTTTGAAATTAAAAACTTTGTGGGATATATGGGAGTGCTATGAAATATGGGAGAGGAGTCCTAGTCAACCGAAATTAAAACAATAGGTTGGAATAGCAAATAAAAGATGCATTGATGCCTAAAAATGGATAATCACTTTCGGTCTTGTGGGCCTTTCGCCAGACGTGGATGATCTGCAAGATAAAGAGCAATGATAAGACCTTGAGTATTGGTGGAGTACCGGTGTGATACCGACTGAATGCTCTCAAATGCTTAAGTTAGCTTAAAGACAAAGTGAATAGTAATTTAGACAGCATAAGAACTAAGTAGCCGAAGGTTATTGTTACCTTTCTTTTGGGACTTGTGCCCTATTTGTAGAGGTCCAAGGTGAGTGACCTTTAGTTATAGTTTTAATGTGCGACTGTGGGCATCGCTTGAGATGCCGCCACTTGTCCATATCTAGCTTGGTTCAACATGAGCCTTCTATAACCGGATCGACATGTTAGTTTGCCAAAGGCTAACCTATTGTTGATGATTGTTTTATGGGCCTCAGTGGGCTCCTTTTATAAATTCCATATAACCACATGTTGTGAAATAATTGGTCGGTCAAATATGATATAAAAAAGATGCTTCATAAAGCTAAACATTTAGCCAAACAAGTCATGGAGGTGGTGTTTGTTGATGATGACCAAATGATGAAGATTTACATGCAAGTCACACAGATGCCTTTCACACTAGCCATTCATCACTCTTAATACCTATCTTCCACAAATAATTGTACTAATATATTTTTTGCTAGACAAAGAAGTGATATTACTTAAAGTACATGTTGACTTGGTAGCTCTATAATTATGTAGCATTTCCCCAGTGTGCATGCAAATATATGTGAGAAAACTAAACCCCAACAAACTAATGGGTGAAAAGTTATATATATATATATACATACATATATATAATGTTCTTCTTTTTGTTCTTTTTTCCAGGGTGCCAACGTAATTTTTGTTGAGTCGTAGATTTGTATCATGCCTTTAGACAATAGTCAACTTAATTCATAATTCAAATTTACAGTCTAATAAGATAATATTTCTATATATATGAGCAGCAAACTCATGAATTTTTTAGCGGAGGTGCAATTTTGAAAGATTAAAAACTCTTTGTGGATTGTACATCTAAGGCTTTTTACTTAGATTGACCTTAGATCCCTTCATGCATTCATATCATACATGAAAAATTGTTTTATGTAGAAATATTGACTAAGAATAAAAAATAGTTTTTCGAAATAATCATTTTCTCAAGATAATTTTTGACGGCTTTTATTCCTTACACATCAAATAAGAAAACTTGATTTTATGGGATTTTATTATGAAATATATATTGACTTCATGAGCCATCATTTTTAGTCTAAATCGATTTTCCATATTTTGATTTGGTGGGAATTTGATTTTCTAATATTTTTATTTGAATCCAAATAGGGGGTACTTCCTTATTTACATTGTAAATTTATGTAATGGAGTAACATAAAAATAAATGAAAGTTTCAACGGAAATAAAGTAATCTGTACACCTAAAGTGCATCACCACTAACTGAGCAAATGAGCAATTTGAAATACCTGTAATGGTTTTTCTAGCAAAGGAATGTGATACTGCACCTCCTTGCGCTTTAATAGGTCCGTCACTGTATGTAAGAGTACTTTATATTATGAGATAACGTAACCCCATGAAATAAGCGATAGATAGTGATTTCATAGAGAACATTTCTATGTGAGATATTTTATGGGATAACGTAGCAATGATAGTAATTTCATGACTTACTCCATTCAAAACTTGGAAAAGAAAAAGAGATGCAATGCTTGGGTATTGACTAGATAAGATTCTCTCATCTTTTGCAGCTTAATGTGGCCCAATAACATCATTACATACACTTACACATGTGCAATTTAATTGTACATGTTTATTTTTTGGTAAACAAGAAATAAAACTGGAAAGTTCTTAAAATTGGGATGCTTAAGCCCAAGGCACCATGCTTTCAAGAGTTTTCACACTATTTTCATGGAAGCAGTCAAGAATTGCTGTGGCTTTTCCTTTGCTATTTTAAATAGAACTGTGACATCTTTGCTTTTGATTCATTGGTCTGGCGCCGACAACCAAATCTGTCTTTGGCCTCTTGTCCCTCTCTCTTTCTCGTTCTCACCCAATTTATAAAAGAAGCAATAAACTACTGTATCGGGATGATGGTTTTCCCATTTTCCCACAGTGCAAATTGCAGAGAAAAAGAAAACAACTTCACTAATTTACAAGTTACAACAACTGGCTGACGACATCGTCTGCGTCACCCTAGCCCAGCTGGGATCGCTGATGCCATCTCAATCGTCACCAAAGCGACTTCATCTCCTCTAACGAAATTTCTCTCCTTCTTCTTACTCTCAAACCTCTCTCTCTCTGTTCTCTGACTCTGTTGCTTTGAAAACGAAAAATGAAATTTCGGACCCTCATTCGGACTTGGATATGACTCGTACCCTTTTGCATCCCATCTCTCTGTTGTTGTCCTCTTTCCTCTTTGTCGTCAATCTTGGGATGTGGTATTTCTGAGTGGTTGATATGGTTGAAAGTTTGCTTCTTTTTCTTGTGGGAAATTTTGGGTTTTTGTCACAATTGTCCTAAGATACGTCCTTCTTTGGTTTTAACTTGTTATCTTCATCTGGGTTTTGAAAATCAGGTGAGATTTGATTAATTTTCATACATCTCTTTTGTTGAATCTGTAGTATGTTCTGTTAGACAGTATTAAAATTACAACATAGAATATAGTGGATGCCCAATTTGGTTTTTACTGTTATTAGTAGATCTTTACCTTCCTTAATCTAGTTCTGTAGATTTTGTCTGTAATTCCACTTTGGAAGCTTGAGCATAGCAATTTTGAACCAACTTTTTTTTTAGTGGTATTGTGGTCAGTCAGTGTTTAGGCATTTGTCATAACAAACTTATCTCAGTTTGAGATAGTAGGTCTTGCTATTCAGCTCAAATTCGTGTATTATGTTTATGTCATTTCAATGATTCCAACCTTTCAAAATTGAAGAGTAAAAGTCCCAATTTGTGATAGTTTTATATTTCTTGAGTGTTAAAAATTGTAAATTTATAATTTGTCATCATATTGGATCTTCCCCTTTTGTTTAGTTTATTTTTAGTACTCTGTTTCTTTTACTTTTTCCCTTCTTCAAAACACTTCATCTTATAGGTCTTTACCATATCAATCATCAGGATCACAAGAGCTTGTGTTCTTAGAATTAGAAAGCGTTTGGGGTCTTATTCTTCAAGGGCTATAGCTAGTTTAGATGTTAATATCTTCAATCAATGGGTTATGTGATTAAGCTTGACGCTGATACATCCTAGGCTCCACCTATAGGTCTGAAGTAGATTAATGGCTAATTCATCTGAACCATCATCCTCTTTAAGCTTTACTTCATCATCCCATATATCTAATGGTTCAATAAGCCACAACTTTTCTTCCTCTGGTTCTGAATCCGTGCCTAGTCTTGAAGTCATCAGTTTGAGCAAGCTTAGTTCTAATTTGGAGCAGCTCTTGGTTGATTCTGGCTGTGATTATAGTGATGCTGATATCATAGTTGAGGGGATTTCTGTTGGCGTTCACCGATGTATATTGGCTTCTAGGAGTAGTTTTTTCTGCGATCTATTCAAGCAAAAAAAGGGGTCTTCTGGGAAGGAAAGCAGACCAAAGTACTGTATGAGTGATTTGCTGCCTTATGGCGATGTTGGATATGAAGCCTTCTTGGTTTTTTTGAGCTATGTGTATACTGGAAAGTTGAAGCCTTCTCCCATGGAGGTGTCAACCTGTGTTCACAATGTATGTGCCCATGATGCTTGTAGACCTGCTATTAATTTCGTCGTGGAGTTGATGTACGCTTCTTCCATTTTCCAAATGCCTGATCTGGTTTCGATATTCCAGGTTGGTGTTCTGTTATTTTGAATTTCTGATCAAGATTGTTATCACATTATGCCATCAGTCAACTCTAGAGTTCATGATTTCTGTGGAGCTGGGCATGAGTGAAGGTCACTTTCTTTTTATTGATTTCTGTTGTTACTAATGGTTGAACCATTGTAGTGGATGAGGTGATTGAAGTCACCCCACAAATTTCTAATGGTTTAAACTGCTTGACTTTATTTTTTGAGTTCTTGGCTACAAAAGTGTAGAGCAGTTTTGAAAAGAATTAATCTTCTTTTTTACCTAGATTTTCTGGGGCATGCTAGTTAAACTAAAGTAATTGATGTCACCCCACGAATTGTTATCATCTCATGTACCTGGTACCATTAATCCTTCAATATCTATATATCACTTAATAAACCAATTTTTCCCTTCAAGCTTACATTAATGTAGTGGTAGGGGTATGATGTTGTTTTGGTGGCTTTTTATGAAACATGGTTTTGTAAATTTAGTCCTATTTTTTCTATCCAACTTGTTTATAGAATGTTAAGATAGATTGCTCATTTATTTGATAAGAAAAATGGAATTGTTCTGATTTGGTTATCTATGTATTGGCAGCGACGCCTTCTTAATTTTGTTGGGAAAGCTCTGGCAGACGATGTTATCCCAATCCTTGTAGTTGCTTTCCATTGTCAGTTGAGTCAGCTCATCGCTCAGTGTATAGAGAGAGTGGCACGATCGGATATTGATAGCATCTCGCTTGAGAAGGGACTTCCTGATGAGGTTATTGAGAAAATTAAAATTCTTCGCCGCAATTCTCAGCAAGACTGTGACCCAAACATGCCAGCAGTGGACCCTTTGCATGAAAAGAGAATCAGGAGAATACATAAGGCGTTGGACTCAGATGATGTTGAACTTGTGAAACTTCTTTTAAAGGAGTCTGCTATAACCTTAGATGAAGCCAATGCTCTCCATTATGCTGCGGCTTACTGCGATCCTAAGGTTGTGACTGAAGTGCTTGGTCTGGGTCTAGCTGATGTTAACCTCCGGAATTCTCGGGGTTACACAGTACTTCACATTGCTGTGATGCGCAAAGAGCCATCAATTATAGTATTGCTTCTGACTAAAGGAGCTCGTGCATCAGAGCTGACATCAGATGGTCAGAGTGCTGTTAGTATTTGCCGGAGGTTGACAAGGCCAAAGGATTATCATTCAAAAACAGAGCAGGGGCAAGAAGCAAACAAGGACCGAATATGCATTGATGTTCTAGAGAGGGAAATGCGTAGGAATCCAATGGCTGGAGTTACATCAATATCTTCCCAAATAATGCCTGATGATCTGCACATGAAATTGCTGAACCTGGAGAATAGAGGTAACATTTCTAAGGCCTTCCCAATTGATTAGTAAAGGCATAGTGGTGGCAGGTGATAGTCACTAGGTTTTTCCTCCAGAAACTCTTCTGTATTTTTTCTCCCAGGAAGGAAACATAATATTTGCTTTGAGATCTTAAACCAATGAATTTTTTCTTTTATCTTTCATTAACTCTCTTGTTGCAAGTTATATTTTTCCTGCACCCGGAGTGCTATCTACCAAAATGAGGTATTTATCCTCTTGTTATCTTCATAGTACAAGTTAATTATTGAGCCTCGTGTCAAGGGCACATATTGATATTTTTGCTTCGGTCCATTACCCTTCCTATGGCATATATTAATGCGTGGTTGACATAAAACATATAGCTTTATCCAGGCTATTATATTCTTTCCATTCTAGATTGCAATGTCATCTCTTTTAGACTTTGGGTGTAGACATGTAGCCTTCTGAATTTCAACCTTTTTCCTTTCATATTTCTTCTTTTGATTGGTTTAGTGTGCCTCTGAGTCTATGACATGATATCTTTCACTTGTTAGATAAGACCTAAATTGAATTATTTATTGCAGTGGCATTTGCACGATTGTTATTCCCGGCTGAAGCCAAGCTAGCTATGGTCATTGCCCATGCTGAGACAACCTCTGAGTTTGCTGGGCGCTCTTCATCGAAAGGCTCAAGTGGGAATTTGATGGAGGTTGATTTAAATGAGACTCCCACTGTGCAGAACAAAAGACTCCATTCTAGGTTGGAAGCCCTAATGAAAACAGGTAAATGCATGCTTTTATCTATATTCTGGTTGAATTGCAGAGTGTTGGTTGATTCTTCTTTTTTCAGTGAACTTATGGTTATTAGAATTCATATCGAAGTTAGCAAGACTTAAAATTAGCCACGTCTTGGTCGAAAGAATAAAAAGTTCATACTATCATAGTTATTCTCTTCTGAGCCTTCTTGTCATATTGTGGCAGTCGATTTGGGTAGATTCTATTTCCCTCATTGCTCGGAAGTCCTGGATAAGTTCATTGAGGACGACCTTCCTGATTTGTTCTACCTTGAGATGGGCACCTCTGACGAGCAGAAAATAAAGAGGGTGCGTTTCATGGAGCTTAAGGAGGAAGTACACAAGGCCTTTAACAAGGACAAGGCTGAGTTGAACCTTTCTGGGTTGTCTTCATCATCCTCCACGTCGTCTCCGAAAAAACTTGGTGCAACTCAAAAAGTTAGGAAATTGTGAGGGCATGTAAATTGTATCTATTAAGCCTTCCGAGTACGAACAAATTTTTTTTTGTTTGTTTCAAGGTTACTGACAGAAGCTTAGTAAGTTTTGGCTATTCTTATCAGTAAAATCTTGGCAGATGCGAATTGCCCTGTTAACTACACGAACTAGTAAGTATCTTAGTTTTGTAATTCTGTAGAGGATGTGGTTCTGGATGGTTGGGATATTTGATCAATGAAATTTACCTTTGCCTTTCTTGTATGTAGTGATAGCCGCAGATTAGTCGATTTGGGTAAGTGACACGTGTTTAGAAGGTATGTAAAAGTTTCTTTGTACATGAAAACCAACTCGCTATTGGAAAATGAAAGATTATCACCAAACAAAGCAGAATACGAACAGAAGTTCACATTAATGAATTTACAGAGAAATGCTTAATACAGAGTCAGTGAGCATGGAGGCGTCAGCCTGTGTTCATTCAAACACTTCACCAACAAGTTGATGTAGAGATGCGCATAAGGGTCTTTTGGATGAATTATTTTTTAATTTTTATACAAACGATAGTTTGATTGGATGAATTTTTTAATTTAGACTGTATATTATAACATTCGTGTTACATTAGATGAAATCAAGTTTTTATTTATTTCTAATACAAGCCATAATGAATCTTGAATTTAGGCATTTATACATATATACCAAAGTGCTTTCTATTCAAATAATTCCTACCGATTCATCGGCAACATTTTAAGATTTTTCTTTCTCAGACTCATAAAGCCTGCATGAAGGTTGCTCAATATTCTTCAATATCAATTCCAGTGGATACGAAGGAAAAGGCCTTGAAATATAATGTACAAGTTCAAACCAGTAAAGGGAGCTTTTGATCGATTGTCCCACGTAAATCAAGATGATCATGTGACCACTTACAAATATTACTTTATAAAAACGAATATTTATATCTTAGAATAAAATCCCTTTTTTTTTTTTTTTTTTTTTCGGAATTGGAAATAATTTAATATTT